TGCAAAAATATTTAAAGTAAAATGCAATTTATAGTATTTAGAGGAGAAAACAAATGTCTATTTGCATTTCATTTTTTAAAATTTATTTATAAAAATAGGAATTTGTATAAAGCAGTCTAATTTATCACAAAGGAAAATACTTACTGTATACGCTACAGCAGTCTCGACGTTAGGTTGCTCCACTTTCTTCTGGCAACTGATATGATAAAACGTAAATAGCAAATGATGTTTCGCGCTTAGATCAGCGGGAAGTCGAATCTTCATTTCGTCGTAGAAGTTCGGATTTTTATTGTGATAGGAAACGGAAGTGAAACACTCGTGGGTCATTTCTGGGCACGATGATCTGCCGAATATTGCTGTGAGGGCATCGGCTTCTTGTTCACCGCCCATAAGCTGAATCCTCACCGCGATATTTCGCGCAGAACCTGTTCTAGAGCTGAAATTCGCCTCCTGTAATAAAAACGGATAAATATTTCTTACATGTTTAGTAAAAATCTAAAAAGGAATAGAATATTGACCATTTACCTTTGGATAAATGTAGAGGAGGTTTCGATACGTCAAATCTGGCGAAATAACTTCGCTTGGGAATTCGAGAATTTCTTTAACCGGTCGACTTTTCTCGTCAGGATATGGCACTAGTCTTCTGAGGTCAGGATCTAAACACCTAGGCAGTTCTTCAGGCCTGGGGCTGAGATCCAATTTTAATATCCCCGGTAGACATTTGAGTCGTTTTAAATTAGAACCAGGTCTTCGTAGTTCGACTAACAGTTTGTACAGATCTTCATCTCTAAGACGTTCGCTTTCTTGCTTGAAGAAACTCGAAACAGTCAGTGTGATTGGTCTAAAACATAATATGGACCGATTTATAAAAAAAATATTTTAGAAACATCGACTGACTTACCTAAATGTATCCAGGCAATTAGCAAAATCATCTGGCGACCAGCTACGTCTTTTGTCCGAGCTTCTCCTTTCCAACGAGCCTCTTCTGGCTGGCGGTTCCACTTTTTTACGCCACTGTTCCAACCCACCCGATTTTCTGTCTAAAGAACCAGCGCTTCCTGTGCTATCAGTGTCTCCTCCACCTCCTATCACACCGGAAAGGTGAATCGCAGTCCACGCAAGCGGCATTCTGTACCGACCCAAACGCTCGCACGCAGCTACAGCGGCTGCTCTCACCTGTTTCCCATTTTTTTTATTCAATTACTTTGTTAGATGCATTATTTGTTTTATTAGTTAATGTGATTACTTTATCTTTATTCTTGTCTTCGCGTAAATACGGCTCGGCGCATTCCGAGATATCACCCTGCAATACTTTTTCCAATCTGACAACCAAAAATAAGTCTGGGCTCGGTTTACTGACGCTCATCACGCAGCTCCTTGCCAATGTGCTGGCATCGCTATACGCGATATGACCACCAAGCATTCTTTTCAATCCCTCCGAATTCATATCCACGTAAAAGTTTTCGGATACCTTTAACAATGAATTTCACAGAAGATCGTATCACATTCATTTAGATTTAAAACTTTTTAAATACCTTTTTCTTTTCCTTCGCATCGTACAATGCCAAACTGGCGAAAATTGGTTCGACCTCCAATTCCAACTTTAATTGAAGACATTTCACAAGTATTTTATGAGAAAAAGGTTCTGATGGCTCTGGCGCGATGCTAATCTCTTGCCATTCGTCGTCCGGCGAAGTTGGAGGCGAATAAAGCGGAAACAATGCTTCCTAACAATTAACATCGGTTAATATCTAACATGTAAATCTCGTTCATGTATCTTGTACTTACTTGACGATCTTCCGAGCGTTTTTGTTCATTCATTTGATCGACAGTCTCTGGGCAAACCCTGTCTAACAGAGTCGGAAGCAGAGGATCGTGTTGCGAATGCCTCAGATCCAAGCTTGCCCAAGACCCTCTTGGCGTATCACCGCAATTAGATAAATCCTCCTCTTCATTCGGTGATCCAGAGCCATTTGTATCCTCTTGGTCAACCTGTCTCATATTTCCTTCATGTAGATTCTTTACCTACTTAGAATACTTATTCTGTTTTCGTATGAGTACCTCAAAGTCTTGTCTCGGTGTATCCTGGAGCAATCTGTCCCTTGCTATGGGAGACACTCTGCGTTTGTACTTTCTGTGCACTACTACCCAATCAGAGGTAAAGCTTTCTATACATCTTCTTACATAAGGAGATACTGTGTCTCTGAAAATTTAATAGTAATTCAGTGTACAAATTTAACATTTCGTTAGTAGTTGAAATAAACTTACAAGGATTCGAAAGGAACAACTGGTTCCTCCGTTCTGATCTTCCTTTTCACAACTTTTAATTCAACATCTCCAGGTGGGAAGTCTAATATCGACTTAAGAGGATCGCGATCAAGTACTGATTGATGCTGAGCCAAGAATTCTTCGTAATCCAATGGCTCTAATACCTCACACAGTGACATCTTAAAAATAATTTATTAGTTGTATTGAAATATTAATGATAGCGTTGGATAATGAGAATGTATGGTGTACCGTAGAGGAGAAGCCTGAGAAGGAGCTGCCACTCTTCGACAGGTCGCGAGAATACGAAGTAGAGTTAGCAATCTGACGTCTAACGTCAGCTGCATGCTGTTTACTCAGTTTCTGAGTAAAAGCTCTCTGTACAGATGACATTATAAATGTCGGGGTGAAGTACTCCTTTGATGAAATCCTGGACATTTTATGTGCATTGGAAAAATCGCGATTAGATAAAATGAAATCGGCGTAAATACCGTGTGGAACGATTATTTAAGTGATTTTAGTGTTCAGTTAAATTTTTATTATCAGCAATCCAGATAAATTTATTTATCTATCTATTTGTTACATCGTTCATTAAATAGTTGACACACTTAACATTAATACTCAAGAATCAGTATAGTTAACATGGATATAGTGGAAAACAAATGACTATACTCACGTGACTTTGTGTTTACTAAAAGTCCATTATGTAAAAAGTTGTGGACACCTTTAAGTCGATACTCCAATATTTTGACAGCTCTCGTGACGAACCTCTGTCGCATCAGGGATGTTCCCATACCAAGCCAAAATTCCCATTAATGCCATAAATGTACACTGTAGATCGGAAACCATGGCAAAAAATTGATTTTCGCCACCCCGGAACATGGCGCTACCCTGCGCTCAGGGGTTGAAATTATATCATCCCTTACGCTTCAACCCCTACTTACAATTTATCTATAATTATTGTAACAAGAATTAAAAAATCCTGATACGATTTACTTAGCTGTTCATCTGTAAATCATACGCGTTTACATTTTATTCGAGGCTTTAATTTTAATTCATGTAACATTTTATTTTATTTCCAAATTATTTTTAGAAACATTCTAATTTAAAAATGAAATAAATATTGTATAAATTGAAGAAAAACGTAATACATAAATCGTAGGGATTCTATCTGGGCACTAGAACCTTCAGAACGTCGCTCAGATCTAGAGACATTCTTTCAGTTTCTCCCTACCTTTTCCATATACCGGGTGTTCCAATAAAACTGGTATCTAAAACCCCACCACGTGACTCATTCAAATCATTTCAACTCAAATCATGAAACATTCTAAACTGAGGACAAAATATTTGAGTACAATAATTTTTCATTTCATCTACCTGTGCGTCAGAAACTTTAAATTTAACTCAAATTTAAATTTTCTACGAATTTCAATGTTCTGTTGAAATATACCACATTTTCGAGAATTCTAATTGCCTCCAATTGCGATATCGATTTTTCACGAGACGGAGAAACTCGGAGGAATCGCGTATTCTGTTTAACGCAGATAGGTGTTGAATTCATACTGCGGAAGACGGAGATAAAAGCCGGAGCGGGTGCACGCATCGGGGCTTGGTACGGGAAACGTCTTTATTAGAGATGGCACGATCCACGCAATAATCATAACACCGTGCGCGAACATTCCGCCGCGCGTTATCCCAGTCGGAAGGAGCTGCAAGACGCATTCGCGATATGTACAGATAAACTTTAATTGTACGAATAGATCGAGTGAGCCCGTTGCCGAGTTCCTGCTTCATTATCGCTACAACAAGAGCTTTTACTTCCTACTGTTTGATCAGATACATTTACGTTTATTCAAGTATTAGTTTAACGTTCTTGAGAATTTAGTATTCCTTGTTGGATACGAAATGGGTAAAGCGAGACGACTTGGGACAATGATTCTCGTCCCGTTTCTCATTAACAAATAAATTAATCCCTCACTTTGCAATGCTCGATCAACAGGTTTGATGAAATACTAACAGATTTTCTATAATTCCCTAAAGATTAGTTGAACAATTTTATCCTGAAGTTATCAAACACATAAATTAATTCAGTCATTAAGCCAATGAGAGCTTTTTTTATTTTTTTACTTAACTTTTTATCTATACACCAAACCTAGAAAGAAGATTCTCACTTCTTTCTCAATCTGAAAATGAATATTATTTTATACTTAATTCTAAAAAGGTAATTAAAATGTAAAATAGCATTAACGTACAATTGAGTTCTACAATTGAAAATTCATTAATCAAACATGACATGATCGAGCATTGAAAAAAATGGGACGCAGGTTTATTAATTTATTTAGTAATCAAAAGCGGGACGCGAATCATTGTCCCGAGTTGTAAAAGGATTTGAAAATAAGAGCACTTCACCGTGAAAGCAGGCACATTATTCAGAATCAAGATTAATGTACACGCTTTATAGCTTCACGGATTCTTTTTACCAATTTCCAAATGAATACTCCTGCAAGATAAATAACTCGTTGTTTTTTGCTTACAGGGAGGGAATGTCGTTTATGCACGATTTTTCCGATTTTTCCATCGTCTCCGACGATAATTCTCTCGAGACGATTTTCGTCGAGGAAGGAAAAAGCGTGGAAGAGAATGGAGCCCCACGACAGGAAATGCATCGCACAGAATGGAAAGGACGTCTACGCTCCTATCTGACCTACATTGTCAACTTCGAGGCTGCTGTCCGGGAAGTTTATATTTTCCTATACAGCTGATAAGGTATCGGTGGAATATTAGACGGGAGATCGATTAAAAGATGAAATACGCAGAGTGCTCCGCTGCATTCCGGTAAGTGACGATCTTTTTATACCTTATACAAGATGAACGACCGTTTTAAATCGATTCCGAAATTGTCTATGTTCTACAGTAGTAAAAAAAAAGGATAGGACTTACAATTTTTATCGAATATTCCCTTGAAAAACTGAGCGATGTGAAATTACTTATTAATACTTAGATATCATTATTGCACGTGAAGACTTTATCACTGTAATTCTGGAAATCCAATGAACTATCATCTTTAATTAAATGATAGTTAATAATTAATTTAATACATCTGTAAATTATAAGTTACGGAACGTGAAGCTTTCTAAAAAAAATTGCGAGATAACGATGGGAAGCTTTTCGAAATCTGCTTATTTCGGCGTCAAAGGCCGGGCGAATTCACTTTGTGCTGCGCCCATAAAACGAACGCTTCCGGGAACTCTCTGTTTCACGCGTACAAAACCACTTCGGATGGAAATGGTCGCGCGCGCGACGTCAGAAAAATCGTGAAAAGTTCGCCTCGCGGTTCATCCGTTCGGTGACGGGTCTTCCTTGGTATTCAAGATACCAATTCCGCGAATAAATTCTGCAAGAATGCGGAATTGTTCGTGAAATGGGAAGTTCTCGACCTTGCGAATCCCTCGGAAGGAGCGCGTCCCCGTCATTTACCGGTTTGCTTCCGGCGACGACGCGCTACTTTTTTCCCTGCCCCGATGGCACGGCCACCTGCTACCCTTTTGCGAGATGACAACTCGCTAGACAGGTCACAGGGCTACCATTCGAGCGAATTCTTTTGTCAATCAACGTGCAGACAGCAAAGGGTCTTCGACGAGCCAGTTACCTGTTTCGGGTAGGAGACCTCGGCTCGAGTAATATTTATGGGACAAGTCGAGTCGTGATTGAAGCGCGGTGATTACAACGTTCCAAATTCCGTAGATTTTAATTACTCACGGTAATGAATTGGAAGTTCGTCAAAGTGTTGGGCACGAAGGTTAATGAAAACCTAAAGCGTAGACGAAATATCAAAAGTTTTATCCTCTAGAAGTATTCCGCTTTGATCTCGTCACGAAACTCCGGGGATTTTTCCCGGGGAAAAACTTTGATGGCGAAAAAGGATTTTTCTCAGGACAGTACTCAGACTGCGTCGTAGAGAATTCTGTGCAACGTATCCTCCTCCGGAAGGAAATAAAGTAGAAAGGGTTGATGGTTCGTGACAGAATGAAAAGTATCGGTCGACCCACTCTGTTCCCGTCCTCCCCTTCTCCCCCCCCTCTCTCTCTCTCTCTCGCTTACCGCTCGCGTTTTTTTCATTTTTACTTTTTCCCTATCCAACTTCTTTTTTCCCCCCTCTCACTCTTTTTTTCACTCCGCCAACGAGATATATTCCCGTACACAGGAGAAGCAGCAGGAAACCAGGAAGCATTCGTTTTCTTTCGCTTATTTTATTAACGCTTAGTTAATTCCCGGCATGCATCTCTTCCCCTTTCTGCAACATTTTTTCCCCCCTCCCTTTTATTTCCCTTCATATTATACATATAGCTCGGCTGTTTTCTCCATCTGCTCGTTATCGTCCGACTATGTGTTTCTTCTTTCCACTCTACGAGCCGAGTATTCAAACGAGTCTCCTGTCTCTCCTTTATACCCCTTCTGCTAACTTTTTTCCGCTTTGTGTCCGCCGCATCTACCTCGTCGCCATTTCTCCTCGTGTCGTCTCGTTTGGTTTCATTTCGAAAGCGTTTCAGTAAAATTAACGATTAGAATTAATGCCCAGTGGTACTCGTTACCCAGCGATACTTGTTAATTATATATTTTCAAGTATTCGCTGACCGGAACTAAAGCTCCATGGCAAGTCCTGATAAAACGGCTGAGCTTTTATTGGTTTCAGTCGTAAAAATACGTATAACTAGACCCAAGACGCTTGCGACCGCGACGCGTTCCTTCGCTCGGTTTAAGCCGATTTCACAACCGAATTATTTTCTTTACCAACGGACCCGTCCCTCATTCCGTCTCTCCTCGGGTCGCTTTCCCTCGGAATTCATCTCCAGATTCTAATTAAGACGAAGACGTTATAAGATTTTTCAATACAGCACGTCAATTAAATCGCATAATATTTCATTTCATTTATTCGCAATATTTCAGTTTAATCATGCGAAGTGCAGACAGTTCCTCTCATAGCTCTCTGGCACTTTAATTATTCCAAATTATTATATTACGCGGCACTTTTTTGACTCCATATTTCACAATCAGTGTGTTAAAGCCGCGATTAAAGAAAATATCTGCGAAATACAGTTTTCGTAATAACTACTCAATCAGCGAGCGAAAGAAGGGCAATTTGCCAATTTAGTAATACAAAGTGGTAATAAATTTGCTCCATACTCGAAATTCCGTTCTGTTAGTTAAAGTTAAAGTCTCCCCGCAACGTTCTGCAACGTGTCGTGACTAAAAAGCGCACACTTCAGGTAGCGCGAGGCTGTCAAAGCCAAATGGCTTTAATAAGTTTGCAAAATAGACGTCAGTTTCAAGTCCTGTTTTGGCCGTCTCGTTGGTGTGCATTTACCTTTAGGGGTGTCAAACGGCGAAGTGCGACGGACAAAAAGTGGGAAAAAAAGAGATGAGGTAAAGGCAGTTCGGCGACGAGTCGTGATCGTAAAAAAGACAAAGCTGACGGAACCGGAAGCGGACGTGCGATCGTTGATCAATTTCGTCTCGTCGAATGCTCGAATCGAGCGTGTCCCGTGATCGCGACAACGAATTTTTCTATTTCGTTAGACTCCTATGTGTTCGCGTAGAAATATCTGATTTATCTTCAAAAGCTTTAAAAATGAATGTCGGGTGAAATAATGTGGGAATTCGTTTTGAGAACGTTCGCAACTCTGGTGGAGCGGCGTGGTTATTTTTTCTCTTCTTCTGAAAATTTATCCGTGTTTGCGTGAGCGAGTTTTGCGTAGGAAGATTTGAAGCAAATTTTTGAAGGTGGGAAAAAATCGTGGAAAATTGTACGACGAGGGTAAAGCTTCGGTTTAATCCAATCTAGTCTAATTTAGAAAAAAGTAGCGAGAGTTTAGCGGTGCTCTTTTAGTCGGAATTGGGGGTTTTGATGCTTCTATTGGGTATTACATGGAATACACTTTTTTCTTCTTTTTTTTTTATTTTCGTACAAACTTTTATCCTGACTTCGGCTAACTCTCCTCACATTTACTTGAATTTTTCTTATCTTAATTCATTGTACGCAGTTTCTCTACTGCGTTTTATTGAAATACGTTCACAAAATTGTTCCTAAAGCTGGGCCTGCACTATATAACAGAACATTGTTATGAATAAAGTTACATAAGGAGCCTATCACTATTAGTATCAGTACTGCATACACAGGTATGCTACCAGAATTAAATTTTCATCCACGCTCTCCAACTAGTTTTCTAGTTCCTGAAACGATAAAATGATCATCACTTTTAATTGTGGAAAACCTGTATTATCATTGGAATAAACTTTCAATTTAGTATGCATCGCGTGAATAAAAATTAAGGGATTCACGTTTCTATACAAAAGGATAAAGTAAATAATGGTTTCTATCGACATCCGTTTAACCACGACACAATCAAGTGCATCCGTACTCGGAAGAAATTCAAAGCCGATTTTCTCGAAAACAAAACTTCAAACGAAAGGGATTTATTCCATATCGTCGATTTATTTTCTCATGTACGATTATTCCCTTCATGCTTATATCATCAGTACTAGGACAGTCTGTATAACATTTTGTTTCCTGTATTTATAACAAATTACATAACTTTGTTATGTAACATGTTTATAACGTAAACACAGCTTTATAGTTAAAATATTATGATTCTTGTTGTATTAACGACGCTTAGTGGCATAATAGAGATTGTAGAACTACCTGATCTACATAGATTGCAGAGGTATCCAAGCACTCGTTGCTCAGATATATATATAGATATACGTACAGGCAACATTCGAGTACCCTGATTCCGGTATCCATAAATTCGAGCAACAGTGTTAGTTTGCACCCAGAGGCAAGTTGAACGCCTCGGGGATGTTCGTCAGGATTCAAGATGCAGCTGCAGTACTCCAAGTAGACGGCGATGAATCGCGTGTGCGCACCGACTGCTTTTGGGAATTTAATCATCCGGTTCGAGTAACCGCTCCTTCACACTCGCTAACCCCCTTGAGAGTATCCCGACCCCGGAGTTTCTGCAGTTCGAGAGCTGCGTTACCACGTCTTCCCTGTTACGAGAAAAAGACCAAGTAATTAAGGTTCCTCCTAATAATCCAGCATAATTGGAGAGCGTAGACGTTATTGCGAAATTAGTAGAATTTCCTGAGCCACGGTGAATTCGTTTAAGATTTGTTGAAGTTCCTTGTTCTTCGATCACGAGCTTGAAACCAGAGTTTTCATTTTCTAACGAAGTTCATTCCTTCAAATTTCACGATATGTGAACGTAAATTCATTCATAATATTATCTATGAGTAGAATATTAGTGTCAAGACCTGTTCCTCAACTATAATCGCCATAATTATCCAAGCGCAATCTCTAATTAACTCCCGTAGGTAATTTCTCAAGATCGCAATTAATACGTTCTGATGAGCTTCACAGGCTTTCAGAACGAGTATCGGAATTCTCTGCGGTTGCGTTGTAAGCTCAGTTGCGATTCAAATGCGGGAATTCGGACACGATACGGATACGGTGCTCTTTATGTTATTTCCACACGAAAACGCGCGACTAAAGAGTTCAGATCGCAGATGCTTCGCGACAGTCTCATGAATTCGCAACGATAGCTGGCAACGATGGGTGCATTGCAGACCCTCGGTCGGCTTCCTTAAACTCTCGGATGCGTTGCGGTTAGAAAAATATGACGGGACAGCTGCTTTTTTACGCGGTTGCTCACGTTCCACGACATTAAGACGGACACATGTCGCCGTGTCATTTGTTGGTCATCGCGTGATGGCTAGGTTTTATCTAGTAAGACGATAAAGAGAAACCGACGATATTTCGCGGAAACGAACTCCAGCGA